AGTCACAATTTAATATGGATTACTTCTTAATTAGTCAAAATGGCCTATTCCAACTATATACCTAATGCATTTTTTTCCTCAGGAATATGTGAGAGAGTAAGAGCCTGTTTGAAAAGCCACCATGTAATTGGAATTGGTGTAATTACTAGGGCACTAATTACACAATCTAGTAATTACACAGTTGTTTAATTACGATGACTTGTTTATTTGTCATAGTGTAATTACAATCCAATTACACGTTTACTGTTTGGTTGCACAAGTGTAATTACACAGTTAAATTAAATTTTAAATGAAGTAATTATCAAAACTTAAAAGTTAGTATAATAAATATAGGCCTATATTTAAGATGTATATTTTTTCGTGAATATACATTAATTAGTAATCATATATTTATAACTAATATTGTAAACGCAATACATATATATATATATATATATATTCAAATTAATAATATTTAGTTTAGATACTTACAAAAACTAAAAATATACATTTTGTAAGAACATCATGGAATCCATGTTTGATAAAATAAATTAATATTTATAAATATAATGTCATAACATTATTCAAATGTTTTGACAAAACTAAACTATCAATCCTAACTAAAAAATGAACAACATGCAATGTGAGCCAATACTACTAAAACAAGTAAATTGAAACCATGAATATAACGCAATTTAAGTTGTAGTAAGCTCCACTACAACTTAAGATTAGGAAACATAATAAGTTTATAACCACATTCAACAACGAATTTTCACTTTAATTGTATCATTCATTATATGCCAAGTTTGTTAATGACTCATTATTTCTAATATTAGGAGGTATAGTTTCAAAAAATAGAATAATAAAATAAATAAAAAATAAAATACAAGCAATTACATGGAATCACAAGAAGTAAAGGTAGAGAAATAAAAGATAAATAATGTACAAAAAAAAATATTTTAAAATTTCAAAAGAAATTAAAAAGTAAAAATGAAATTACAAAATAAAAAAAATAGAAATAAAAAGTTATAAAAAATAAATTAAAATAAAAACAAAAAGGAAAGAAACTAAAAGGCAACCTTGTAATTACACAGTGTAATTACCACCAATTCTCACCTCCTCTTTGAGAATTGGAGAGTGTAATTACACCCCTCCAATTACACCCAATTTTATGTTGACCAAGTAATTACCTGGCCGAACAAACATGCCAAACTGTATAATTACACCCAAATTCATTTCTAAGGTGACTTTCCAAACAACTCTAAGTAACACTAAATTATACTCGGTAGATTATTTAAAAGTGCAAGCTAGCTGAACAAAAAAAGACTTGACTAAAAAATAATATAAAAAAATAACTGTAGTCCATGCGAGAGTTCCAATTCATTCACGAGGGATCTATAAATTGTTCACTTTAGGATGCAATGCTCACACAAAATCTCATAATACATCTTATATTGTTCCTAACATGGTATTGCTCAACTTTAGTTTTGTGTTCTGTATTCTTCTCCTGGCAACAACTAGTCAGTAGACGTCTCTCTTAACTTTTAAATTACATTAATTTTACATTATTCTCTGCTTGTCAATACGTATGTAGCTACAAATGTTATTGCATGAATATTTCATATGCATTAACAGGTGTTAGTGTGTTTGTATGTCTATCGTTTGAATGTATGTCTTCTCATGTTAAACCATCAATTATTTGATTTTTGTTTTTGATAATTATAATTGTGAAATATTTCAGTTAACGCGCCATGGTTCCCAAAGACATAAATATTGGCAACACGAGAAGTTAATCATTATGATTTCTTACCGCTCGAGAGAAAACTACTCCCTCAACTTAATGATTTTATAACATGTGAAAGCAGTTGCATCTCCGATAGTAATTGGAGTGATTGTTGGGTCTATTGTAGATGCCTTATCGCACCCTATACAGGCTTCCCTGGTAGTAGGTGTACCTTTTGACCATGTGCAAATGGTACATCAATGTCCAATTACTGTGAATTCTGCTACAAAACATTGTTCCGTATTTGTCTTTCCGTATAATTTTTATGCTTCTTTCATCATTTCTTGTTTCTTTGATAGCGGCCAGCTGTACTTGTGTGATTCAACAAAGTTATTTACTAATTTACCTCATATAAACTTTTTTTTGTTTTCCACTCGGTGTCCGGTATCCGCATTGGAGCCCGACTATATTTGAATTCGCACCGCGTAGGGCCCCATTCGGGGGGAAGCGCTCTCTACCAAGGATTTTTCCATATCTAGGGCTCGAATCGAAACCTATGGTTAAGAGAGGAGCAGTCACATCCACTGCACCATATCCTTTGGTGGAACCTCATATAAATTTACCAAAATATTACCTCATATACATTCTACTCTAGGATTCTTGTTGTTTTTAATTTTCATACTCTTAATAAAGCGTTTTTACTTTTGGATTGTGTTCTTGAGAAAGCTCGTTAAAAGTAAATAGCAAACATACATAAGAGTGAAAGTCTAAGTACCTAGATTGTGAACTTTTCACGCAGATACTTAACATGCAAAACTCTCAAATGCCTTTTGTTGAGATTTAATTAATTTGATCTTGTTCCGGTTTTTTAATTTTGTTTAATTTATGTCAATGGATAAACTGAAACATTAATTATACTATGAAACTGAGTTCAGCAATTGTCATCTGCGTCCGTTACATGTTCTATAGTTCTGTTAGTTGAAGCGTGTCGCTTCAGGACCACCAAAACGTGACCCTCTTTTTACAAAGTTAACACTTAACAGGAAGAGTGTCACTTGATGAGGACCAAAAGTGACCCTTTTGACAAAGTTAAAGGACTATTTATGTTCACTGGTATATGTCTAAGGGATCAAATATACCTACCTCATACATAAGGGACTGTTTAGGTCTTTTTCTCTAAAAGTGATTGCATATTTCATCTGTCAAAATCTTATTGGAAAAGTTTATAGCAGTGTGGAGGTTATTTCAAACCAGATACGTATGTCTGTAATTGACAACTAGTATTAGCACCCGCGGGACACTAATCATGTTAATTATTTAAGTTATTTGGATTATATGTAAATAATCTTACAATTTAAACTTTTTCGGTAAATATAGATAATCATTAGATATTAATAAAAAACATTACATGAAAAAAAATAACCATTTCCTCTATTTTTCTTTTTCGATACAATTCTCGCTGATGTCATTGGATCCTAAAAATAATCATGAAGCGAAATAATAACTCATGATTATGGCAAAACAATCAAATGTTGAGACTATGAATGATTCTTTGGATACGACTTGACTCTTTTACTACTACTTGAACTCTTATTTGGTGTGTCGATATCTCTTAAAAAATATTTCTTTTTTATGATTTTAGTTTCTAAAATTTTATTTTTCAATAATAATTATTTTTATAATAATGTTAGTTAAAATATTATCCTTATTCAAAGTTCATTTTAGTTGGCTATCTAAAAATTTTAAAAAATTCTTTAGCCAGTGAATTTATTTTTCAGTATGACCCCATTTTGATATTTGACGTTAACCATATTAAATAACTAAGTTATTTGATTTATATGTAAATAACCTTAAAGTTTGTGTACTTGAGTTAAAAAAAATATTTGAAATCGATGAGATTAGCTTTCAAATTTTTTATACTCAACAAAGATGAACCATCAGAAGAAATTCGTTGACATCTCTTATTTCTGGTTTTTAGATCTTTCATATATTTTTTTAATATTTTTTTTCTTTTATATCATTCTTTCTTTTGTTACAAAAAATTAATTTATTTCACTATAAAATGACGAGATTTAATGAAATTGTCTACATAAGAATTTTATTTATATTTCTAGTCTTTGATTGAAATTCTTCCATATTTTTCTTCTGGCTTTGTTTAATCAGCCTAAATAGGTGTTCACCCAACCACTTAAATTAAACAATTGAAGGATGTGTAATTTTTATACAATCCATATATAATGTGTACAATCGTGTGTTGTCGGCATATCATCTACTTATATTAGCTATAAAAAGTAAACAATAAATCTGGCTGGATATTTATGTAAATATTCCATAATATTTTGGTTTTTTGAGTTTATCCATGATACAAATTCTATTATAATAATTTTAAAATATCTCTACTAATGTTGAAAATATCTATATTCTTATTATCTTTAAAGTAGAAAAAAGTAAAGAGTTTTTTCGAAATAATTTTGTTTACATTTTAAAAAAAATCTTTCACATCATACCAATTTTTTTTTATAAAATATATTTTTTGTTACACTTGAAAATCGCTATAGAAAGTATCAATTAGAAACCAATATCTTTCTTGTTGAGTTCAAGAAAAAAAAAATCACATAATCTAATGATTCAAAACTAATATTCTTCAACGAAAAAAATATTATACCCTTGCAATATTGGCTTGACTACAGCTAAATGAAGGGGTTCCAACTTATACTCTTCAATTCCTAAAATGTTCTAAATTGAATTAATAATAGCAATTGTATAACCAAAGTTTTGTTAATTGTTTGATGTTCATTTATACAAATTGACTCTTCAAACAAATATTCTTCATAAAGAAAAAGAAAAAAAAACAACTTCTTTTAAATATTAACTAATTTTTGTGATGTATTTTCTCTGGCATGTATGTTTACTTCATTATGTAAGTAAACTTTTATTCGATTTTTTAAACTCTTTTTTGTTATTTGGATAAACATAGACGTGTACCCTATATATTACATTTATTTTAAAATAAATTTACTTTATTCAAATCTAGCTACAGTGTTTTAAACAACTATAATTCCAGGGTTTTAAATGTGAAAGAGTTTTATAGTTATATGAAGTAATNATAGTCAAATATAGAATAAAGTTACCATATATTATTGACATTTATTAGCTTGCCACTTGGCTTAGCTATAATGCCAACTATATATGGTAACTTTATTCCTTTAATATATATATAGATTTGAAGAGCGTCTCTGTCATTTACATCTCATTTATTATGTAGTTTAAGGTTTTAAAATTGATAAGTTGTGCTGCATAATCATAACCAGATTTATTTGATGAATAAATTGTAAAAGGTTTTCTACAAGCGATAATGTCCACAGAAATGAATGGTATGGAGTAAGAACCTAAACTCCTGCAGTATCTGGATTCAATAACTTTAATCATTCTCCTATGCCTTTAACTTCCACTTGTGTCAAACTGTGTCAGAGAAGAACTCTGAGCCAATCTTTCTTTTTTTTTCTTTTTCTTTTTTCATCAGCTTGAACATGCATGACCTTCCTCCATCGGTTCAACTGGCACTGCATATGGCGAATTCCAGTCAGCATTGAAGATTTCTTGAAGTTGCGAAACAATAGCAGGTTGATATGTCCCAAAGCTAACGCCTGCTGTCGTGTAAAAGTAGTCCCACACCAGGTTGCTGGTGCTTATGTGTGCACGCGTATCACTAACTGCATATTTACCATGATTAACCCGTGTATAGCCAGGATACATATTCCCGGTGGCAGTACCATTAAGTGCTGCAGGTCCAGTTGAATTGTATCCTGGAACAATGTAATACTTGATCTCGACTTTACCAGAACAATGATTGTACTTTGAAGAAGAGCACAGGGTGTTGGAGTAAAGCAATGACTTTAGATACTGATCTGTGTTGTTTATAAAGTGAGCCCACTTTGCGACCAGTATTTGAATCTTCGCGCTCTTGGAGAAGACAACCTGCATTTAGAAAATTACAGCAAGATTAGGTTATAACCAATTTTACACGCGGGATGAAGGTAAAGCTTGAATCTCCAAACAAGGACATACGCATCCTGTCCTGAAAAACTAGTGATATTATAAACCCGGGAATCGGTACTGCTTATGCTTAACAACATATTGGCTTTCAGCATTCGATAAGGCTCTATATGGACCTTTACTGTTGTTGTAGAGTGAACTGGGGCCACCAGATGCTTTTTCCTATTGAAACCATCTAAATGGACAGTAATGTAGGAAGCAAGAAACCTAGCTAATCTCCAGCTCATAGCTCCCAGTTTCTCCCATGTGCTGCCACTATGTAGCCGCCAAGGAAAACAATCACTCACTTAAAGATGACAAGCATTAATAGACCTGGATGAGTAGACTGCAATTTTAACAATTCCCTACATATCCTTTGGTCTTCTGCATGTCCCCTATTAAACTATTCTTTTAAGTGACTTCATTTTCAAGCAGTTTGTCTTTTGCACAGGCCCTCTCCTTTTATTTGTTATACACGCTTAAGCATCCACAAGAGTTCTCAGATGTCAAAAGCATATAAAACTGAAGACCAAACTAGGAAGCAACATTCACTAAGAAAAACGAGCAAAACGTGATCAGCTTCCATAGATGAACTTTCACATGGTCTATCACAATATTTGATTCCAAACCTGGCAATACATTACCAGCATACTTAACCTGATATTGCAACATAGATATTTGTCAAACGATACAAAAAAGGAGACCTTATGAACTAACTAGCAAATTTGTGCAGTGTGAAAAGAAAAAATTTAATCAGTAGACTGCATTTACTTCTCAGTAGATAGTGCTTTACTGCATCATGCATTTCAAGGAGAAAAATGCATCATGCATTTGAGCTTTACAAGCAGTACTTTTAATCAAGCATCAGGAAATACCTAATTGTAAAGTTTAACTTAAAGCCATTTAAAATTACAGAGAGAACAAGCAGTCGAATAAATCATGCAAATAGTATGAGACCTTCAATCAGAAGTCAAAAGAGATATATGTTTATATGCTGCACATCAAAGATTAACATGCAAAAGATAGAAGAAGCACAAGTTACCTCTGAAATAGCTGAAGAAAGTGATGGCCAATAAACTGTTTCTTTTGTGTATCCTGACTGACCAAGCCAGTCCATGGTGTTGATTCTGACTGTTCCTCCATTTCCTACTGATTTAATGGTGTCCACCCAAGCCTGTTCATCTGTATAGTACTTACCAAACAAGAGCTGCAGTTTATGGACAGCATAAGTATGATGTATACAAAGAAAGGGACTTGATTTTAATCATAAAGCTGCAACTAGACAATTAATTCTTCTACCAAGCAAGGCACATTAGCAGTTTAGGATATATTTGGACTAAGTGGGAAATGTAAGATTTTGTTTAAATAGTGTCCTCCTATGAAAGCGTGAAAAAGAACACTATTTATATGATATCTAGAGGAACAAGCATGGTATTTGACTTCTGCTTCAGACCAATGAAATTAGCTACCAGATCCACATTTTCAGGCATTCCAAGAAAATGTAATCTGCTCAGAAATTTTTATCATTCATTTCAGCAGAGTTCATTACATGAATAAAGGGTTATATAAACATGACGGGATGTACATACTCATTGACTTACCACAGTGCACATAAGGAAACAAAAATGTGAAGAGAAAAAGAAAAAGCACCCTCTAGGAGATAAATGTCATATCACCACAATAGATGAAAATGCAGATTAGTTGCTAGTACACTTTTTGCAGTAACCATATACCTCTGGAGGAGCAAATGAAAGGTAGCTTGGTTGAGGATGGAAAAACGAATCATTGACTCCAGGTGTCTCTATGGGAATGTGAAACATAAAAGGGTCTGATAATACAGGGTAGCCAGAGATGTGAGCAACCTCCATACATTTGGGAAGTGGTGATCTGTCAAGACACAATATAATACCCTATTAATAATAGTAAGGCCCGCATCAAGAGGTTTTCTCGATAACTTCAAGGAAATTTTATCATGTTAAAATTTTTAATCTCGAGTTTATTTCCCAAACTTGAACACCCAATGTTTGAAGTGCAGTCCTAGTTCTGTTCCATTAAACATTGGGAAGGAGGGCTTTCAGCAGAGTAAGGGAGAAATTATAGCAAAGCATTTAGCAGTTTCCCAAATGAATTTTTCGCAGACAGGTCTTAGTTTGTGTTTGGGTTCTAATTTCAGAAGTCTGTTTTGGTTATATGAACTTGAATTGCATAAAGGCAAAAAATTTCAACCTATATAAGCAGAGGCGGATCCAGGATTTGAGGCTTATGGGTTCCTACCATAATTTTAAATTAATATGCAATAATAACTGGGTTCACATTTAGATATTTACAAATATTTAGTAAATTTTTAATATAAATACAGGGTTTACGCAAGAGTTACTGGGTTCCCAGGAACCCGTATTCCATTCTCTACATCCGCCCCTGTATATAAGTGGTAACAGCCAAAAGCAGTGACCTTTGCACTTGCATATGACTTCTATTTTTCCATTTCCCTTTTGCTATTTTTTTGTGCAATTATTATGTGCAAGAAAAATAAAAGAATTCCCCACACTCTTATAAGGCTGCTGCAAGATGCGGAGAACAAGGGGAGAAGCCAGCAACTTAAAAAGAGTATTTGCATATTTATTTTATGCTTACCTGCACCTGTCTTTAGGATTTACATAATGGGACCAACATGGAACCTTGCGATTAATCTGCCACTGTGAATCCCAAACTGATCTTGTGTAAGCTGAAACATCAAGGTGGGCAAGTTTCCAAAGGTTGTCATAGTAGATTTCAACCTTTTTTGCTATATCTGAGCAACCAGCGAGATATATTCCTACCTCCTTTACCTGAACACAGTAGAGTACAAGTGAGATATTTCAAACTGATCTCGTCCGGTTGTCGTGATCTTTGTATCTAACCATCCAACTTAGGAACAAATAACGGATCTTTTCTTGTGCATTAAAAGTATTGACGAAGGGTAAAAATGTTCATCAAACATAGCTGGAAAGGAAATTGCCCCCTCCCCCATTCATTTAGCTTTTAGTTCTTACTGTACAGATAGGGATTTCCCTAACCTGCTACCATCGCAAGGTAGACTTTTAATTAAAATTATAAAGATACAATGTACCCATTTTTGTGGTACGAATGTGATTATGAAACTACTCTTCACTGTTAACGAAAATCGGATACTCCAAAGGAGTTTGAAGCAAAAAGTCAATAATTGACAGAGAGATGATTACTTAAGAATCAGGTGTAAGAGAGATGGACAGCAGTGGTTGATGGACAACAATGAGAAGATATCCGACTTATTTCCAACTTTGTAAAGTATTTCAAATATCAGAAAGAAAATCTTCCTACATGGCATATGGTCTCTTCCTCGAGAGCCTACTTAGACTACCATAATCCTAGTTTTTCTTGTTCTATGTTTGAAAGTAGCAGTTCATTTTATTCTGATGGAATTTGATGTCTAACAATGTTTTATTCAGCAACATGATCTTATATGCTGGGCCCAAATAGGCTAATTAACCAGACATTCAAAACACTCATACTTCACTAGACTTATGATGACGATTCTTCTTGAAGTTTAGAAATTATCAGAGTTCTTCAGCTGCTTTTGCTAGATCAGGAACATTTGGAGAAAGTTATTCTTGTTAATTTGGATCAGTTTTACCTGAGTAAGAGATTTCCAGTCATTGTTTGCAGATCCAATATAAACATCTCTACTGTCTGAGATCCAAACTTTAGCATGAACTACACCTGATCCCCACCAGTCGCTAAGCAGCAAGGTAACATTCTTCACATTTGGCCTCCCTGATGCTAAGTTGGATGGTTCTTCCGTGTAATCGGGATAAACTCCAGAATGCTGTAAAAGTCTGAATTGTGATTAGTTCCAAGGGAATAGGATAAATCAGCATATGCACATACAGGCCAAACTAACACCTCATGTTTTCCTTCGGACGCTGAAGCATGCACAAAAGAAGTTGGAGCATTTACATTGGTAAAGAACATAAATATTGCTATTTCAAGTAAAAGGCTTAATACATAGTTTACCCCCTGTGGTTGTACCAAAATCCCCAACACCCCTTGACCACAGGAATTGTTTCACACCGATCCTCCTATGCTAATGATATATGTTTAACAAATAGCAGCAACAAGCAGATATTTCATAAAATTAACTCATGTTTTTTAGGCTTTAGCTATACCTACAGATTTACCTAATTGGAAGTTTGCGATTTGCAGCACTTTCTAATGCTTTGTAGACTTTCAATCCTTCGTTAGCCCCAAATTGCTGCAACTTCTCATCTGAGTATCCATAATCCCCTGAACGAGGATCAGAGAGACTTGGTACTAATTGCCAATATTGTGCAATTATGTCCAAACTCTTTGAAGAGTTTCCAGCCAGCCATTGAAGGACATCCGCTGAAATAATCATCAACACGAAGTTACAAAGAGAAAGAAACACACTTAACTAGCTTCCATCTGACTTTGTGAGCTCCAGCTTGAGACTTTGAGCTAATGAACTATGCACTCAGTGTACAATATATAGACAAACAATGAGGTTTCCGAGCCTGAGGCCAACAAATTCATGAAACATGGAATAGAGATTTTGCAGCACACTGAAATGGGAGTTAACTATAACCTTGCTAACAGATTCCAACAAAAGATAGGTGCACACTTTGTTACACTCAAACAAAAAAGAAATACTCCCTCTATCCCAATTTAGGTGATGCTTTTTCCTTTATAATCTGTCCCCAAAAGAATGATACCTTTCTATATTTAGAAATAATTTAGCTTTAAACTTTTCATTTTAGCCATAATGAGATGATTTATAGCTACAGAAAAATATGTATGGTTTGTTTTAAACCCCAAGTTTCAAAAGACTTTCTTTCTAAACTATGTGCCCAATCAAAGTGGATCACATAAAACGGGAGGGAGTATATGAAGTCATTCACAAAAAATATCACCGTGTATACATCCAACAGATATTATGACTTGAGCACTTTGATTCTAAGCTGACTAGTCAAGGCCTAATGCAAGCAGCTTTTAAAAAAAAAAATAAAAAAAAAATTGGTGTCACTTAAATTCTGTTTTCTAATCAAAACGTACCAGTCCAATACTATGTTTTAATCTTAAACAAGTGATATCAGATAAGAAATGTATAAGATAAGAAGTAGAAGAAGAGTGGACATAATAAGTTGCCAATTTTAGGAATCTGAACATTAATAGGAAGTAGTCAGTACTCACTATCAAAGGATTAAGGCACTAAGAAACATAGAAAAGGAAGCCATTAAAGTAATTCTGACAACACGATTTTCACATCAATTCTATTGTGTCAGTAAAATTACCGGTTGAAAGAAGGCCGGGAACAGGAGGAAGTTGGGGCATATCAGTGGGAATGGATTGAACCAGCCACGCTTTGCATTTGGAAGACTCATGAGCTGTTGCTGTAATACTAGTAGTTGTTGTAAGGAAAAGGAAGAGGAGAAATGCGATAATGGCTCTCATCTTCGGCACTTAATTTTTTTCTGGATTTGAAGCAGTATTAATGTATATAAGCTGGAATTTTCAAATCCCAACGTTTTATCTCTCTGTTGACTTTTTCCATGTTTACCCTCTACTCCTTGGCGCTTTAATTACAGTCCGAGCCGCTCAATTCGGTAATGCTAAATTTATGTTAGACGTAAGGTTTTGTTTAGGCCTCTACTACATCTCTCCAAACGCAACTAGTTGATTACATTAGTCTATGTTCGCCCACACTTGGGATCTCTTCTCTAAATGTATTGATGAATTAAATTTTTTATTTAAACGGACTTATAAAACACTTCATATGTTTGTCTAATCTTAAATTCAAGATTGGTATTCCTCAATAAGCTAAAGTGGACTAACAAATTGATATGGTAGATGTACTCAGTTTTATTCAAATTTTCTAAATTATTTGATACCAGAAATAATTGCACATTATGGACATATTTTTATATCTAAAAGACTTTATGCAATTCTATATTGAACATAAATTGAAGTTAAAGTTTAGTCTTCGTAAATATTGTGTAAAGTTTCGTATTAGATAAGTATTTCAAAAGATCCAAACATATAGCGTGTTGTACACTTTCTTTCTGGTTTATGATTCAAATAGTTAATTAAGGGAATATGATGAAACAGTTCATTTAAGAATAAATTGAGATGGTTTATTTAGCAGAATGAACCCATTAGAGTCAGCCGTGACCTAGATTTAGGTCACTGACATCACTGCACATATTCTTTCAAAGCTCATCCACAAGCAATTTACATGTATACATTCGCATAAATCTGCAATTCCGTGTCACTTAGCTTTCGAAGCCTTAAAATTTACATATAGTCCTTAAAACAATAGGATTTGCTCCTATGGCTGCACAGAAACTGGAATATGTACTCTTTCCTTGCTTAGACAAATTTCCATTTCACAAACGCAAACGGGATTGACCACATTCTCACAAATGGAACTATTTGCATCTGAGCAGGCTGGTTAGAAGGTAAGAGCCTGTGCTCTAGTGAATACAAATACTCCACCTCCAACAGCGCGACCTAAGAGCATATTGTTATCAAGATAAGAAAGGTAATATAGGCCCCCTACGGATCGCCTGCACATGGTCCATGTTCACGTGAATACAATAGACACACCAGTAAAAACTCAACTGTGATTATGGTTACATCAAGTTAATACCTCTCTGGGCTGGTAACTGCAACTTGAGCTTTGAAACTCCGAATAAACTGCAGTATCTGCAAACCAGGAAAATTCATTTTGGACATATACTTATATGAACTAGAGATATGTATTTTTCCAGTCACAAAAGCTTGCTGCACTTGTTTTAATCTACTGGATCACGAACTAAGTCTCTTTTGTTTTATCCCTTTAATTGTACCTGGACCCTCCATGAGGGAGGAGGGGCTCAAAATGATTCTGCACAGCTATTGCGTAAACATACAGAAAATTAAAGAAAATCTCAACACCACAGCACAAGTACCTGTAAACTTAAAAAAGACCTTGGCAGAATTGCTGGAGCTATTACCGCTTGCAGATCTTCACTGATGTTAATATTTTGAAGACCTATCTGCAAAAGAAGAAGAAGAAAAATACATGCATGATACTAAAGAAGATACTTAAAGTAGGCGTCGGGCTTCCAACGCCGACGCCGCCGAGAACATCTAGTTATCAAGTAGGTGATATCTATAACAAAGTATGTTTTCCGTGTTTATTTGCCATCTCATCAAGCTTCAGGTCATCTGTATGTACCAAAACGCAACTTTTGAGGAATCAGTGAACACTGAATGCAGAACCTAAAAAAGAAGATAACACATGAAGATGAAGTGCGTCTTTGGCACATTATCATAATGATGCAGACACCATTCGACTATTTGAACAGTAAGGTAAATAGACTAGTTCACTTTGGCCTGTGGAAGTTCAATTTGACTATCAGGAACTAGTAAAAGATGTAGAAGACATAACCACCCTGTTATAGAATTTCTATCTCAGCTCAGATGAAGATGTATGACTAAATCTAACCCAGATAACTTTAGTGCAACAGGTTGAACAGAATTATGAGTTGTGGATCATGAGTGTGTTTTACTTTCAAAACCAGTACTGGACGGTGTTGACTCTAGATTCTCAATATTTGATTATGTATCTACTTTCTCATCACTAAAGGACAGTATTTCTAACATTAGCTTCTCTTAGAGTACAACTGGAAGACTTCTCAACTTCATATGTTACTGATCATGTCAACTTGAGGAGGATGAAAAGTTTTCTGAGAAACACAGTTTAAAGGGGAAAAAAGCAGAAGAGGCAAAGAACACTCGCATAGACACAGGACAGAATTTGATAATCACTATCCATGTAGAATTTCAAAAACAAAATTCATCTTTCCAATCAGAAAGCATCAGAAACTAAGTAAAGCAGCACAAAATAGTTAATTTAACTACTAAGGAGACCGAAGCACAAGACAGGAAATAAAAGCCCGACAAATTTGCAGTGAAGCCGTTGATGTCTATTACCTAGACATGGCCTGCAACATATGGAGTCCCAAAACACTACTTCAGAAGGACACGATATGGACTTCTGCTCAAGCACCGGAACCAATGATTAGGTAGAATATTTTAAGGAGAAGGATGAGGACACAGCCATAAAAAGCCCAGATAAATAGTATACTTGAGTAGTAATCAGAAAAATTACCTCCTCAAACTTGAGGTAAATGTTACGAGCTGAAACGCAAGAAAATCTGGCAGAAACTATCAGAGTAGCACCTTCATTCTCCTGTAGGTATAAGAAGATCATTATCAAATCATTTGAATTAAACATGCTTTATCCTTTTCCTTCTTAGTATGTAATCTACCCTTTCCTCTCTCTCTATTACTCCTGTCAACCTCTCATTCTTCTAGTGTATATTAAAGGTCATAAGTTGAACAGTTTTACAAACTATCACAAGGATAAAATGACAAACAAGAAGAAGAGTAAATATATCACTCCATTCCAAAATGGATTGTGAGACACTCAGTATTCATTAAGCTACCTGTACATTCCAGGAGAGAGACATAGACTATGGCACGTATTCTTTTGGAGAATTTCTTACGAACTTTGGTATCAACCAGAACTTTGAAAGTTTTAAAGGTTAGAAATGCGACACTTTGAAGCTTAATTCAGGTAGTTCTGATTTCAACACTTAGAAGTGAAAGCACTGATAGGAAATCAAAGGCACTCTGCTCTTTTTTATGGGATACAATAGTCCATGCAGATAGGATTTCATGAAACACTGAAGTTACACTCGTAAAATAAGATAACTAGATAGGGAATAAGCAGAATCCTTATAAGAAAAAGTAGAGAATAATCAGAACGGAAGGGTAATAGAGGGGGTGACAACAACAACAACAACAATAACAAACCCAGTATATTCCCACAGGTGGGTCTGGAAGGATAGTGTGTGCACAGACTTTATCCCTACCTAGTGAAGGTAGAGAGCTTATTTCTAATAGACCCTCTGCTCAGAGAAGAACAAGAGGGAGAAAAAGAAAGAAAAGGGAGAGAGAAGAAAAAGAGGGAGAAAAGAAAAAAAAGGGAGAGAAGAAAAAGAGGGACAAACGAATAAGTAGTAAATCAAATAGTAACAGCAGGGAAATACGATAATTGAAGCGAACTACACAACATGATGTAATATAGATCAAAGAATATGAAGAAACTTTCAACTACCTACTAACCTTCTACCCTAATCCTCGACACTTTCCTATCAAACGTCATGTCCCCATTAAGCTGAAGCAGTAACATATCTTGCCTAATCACCTCTCCCCAGTACTTCTTTGGCCTACCTCGACCTCTTCTCAAACCCGCCATCACCAACCTCTCCCACCTCCTAACAGGAGCATCAATGCTTCTCCTCTTGACGTACCCGAACTATCTCAGCCTCAACTCCCGCATCTTGTCCTCCACGGAGGCCACTCCCGCTTTGTTTCGAATAACTTCATTACTTATCTTATCTCTCCTGGTATACCCACTCCGCCATCTCAATATCCTCATTTCTGTTACTTTCATTTTCTGCATATGGGAGTTCTTGACTGGCCAACACCCAGCCCCATACAACATAGCTGGTGGCTAGTCGAACCACCACTCTATAAAATTTACTCTTAAGTCTTGGCGGCACATTCCTATCACATAGAACACCGGATGCGAGCCTCCATTTCATCCATCCCGCTCCATTTCTGATTTACACCTACCCTTTTTTTATGGGATGCATTCAGAGGAGGACAGACCACAGTTAACAAGCAGCGGCAGTCATTTCTAAGCAAAGTAGACTGATAATATACGAGAGTACAAACAGAAAGATGCTTGGAATCCAAATCTTATTGGATTCTAAGAACATCAGGCACATGCTTTCTTTTCACTTTACTAAAGGTGTGGAGTGATTCTGGATTTATCAGCCATTAGAAATGTTTTATAACGTATGCAAAATATATCTGCAGATTGAGGGAAGTTTAACTTGGTACAACTACAGCTGCCATGAGGAAATCAAAAGAGTAGTCCCAAAAGGTTTAAATTTAGACATTACCCACTACGTGTCAGACAAAATAGTGGTTGAAGAGATGAAGTAAAGCCCTTGAAACCAAAGTTGAAATTCGAGCAGAGGGAAGGAACATTAGATGAATCTTTTGTCTACTCCTTCCCAGGAAGAATTATCCCATACATGTAGTGGTGAGAGGTAGTAGATATCAGGTGGATTAGTCGAAGTGCTCAAACTGAACCAGACACCATCGTTAACAAAAGAATAATTTTTTGGTTCCTTTTTGAAGTGCTTTTATTTCCAGAATCCATGAGCATTTAACTACTTCCCTTCTCAATTTTTTAAATGGAAGCAACTACGTAGATGAGCCTTCTGGCACTTCACTTCATCCCTTCTTACTAAAAGGGCAGCCCGGTGCAGCCTTACCCTGCATTTCTGCAAGAGGCGTCCCTTCATACTATTTTGTCAAATTCCCTTCCAATCTTCCATGCTTCAGCAAGAGGCATCCCTTCATACTATTTTGTCAAATTCCCTTCCAATCTTTCATGCTTCAGCAAGGACATCATTGCTAGTTGTTTTATGCTCATAGAGTTGATGTTTATAAAAAGTAAATGATGCTGTCAAAATTCTACAAGGAGAAGCACAATGCATAACTCTGAACTCGAGCATAAGGCT